AGATATCACATCATGGTCACTTGATTGTATTAATCCAGGACTAATTATTTAGTAGTATAAACCAGTTGATTAATGACTATCATAATTCTAAATTATGCAGTACAATGAATAAACCAATGAGAATTTGTCCATTTTCGTAAAACTTTACTGTTGCGTAATTGGTAGATTAACAAATATTCTGTGTGAAAGCAAAATAAGTTTTACCTGGTGGGCTTTCAACTGAGTTATAACGGGCTGGTTAGTTCCTACTGATCGTCAAATACACACACGTTCATTTATAAGCTAAAAGAAAAACAGAGAGCGTATTATTTCAGCGTTGCATGGGGATGTTTTGTTACCTTCAAGTCAACATAGTTCCACGGAAACCACAGTATTCTGAACTACTTTGATAAGTACTCTTCAAGTGAGACTTCCGATTTACTGATAAATACATTTTGCTTCCTCCGCCTGCAATTTGGATACGGCTAATAACTGAGAGACAAAAGTCTCTGGGACGAAATCAAGTGTGCCAATACTGGTGACACTGCACACTTGAAGAACCGGAATTACATATAGATAAATAGATTTATGTACACAAAATCCAAGTGGTAAACACTCGATCCTGGAGATCAGTATTAATTATAAGTTGAGGAGAGAGTTAGTTTTGCGAAGAATGTTTACCGTAGGGATATCCTCTCACAAAACGCGTTACAATTGTTACCGTCGGAAACGGATACTTGGCATCATCAACATGAGTTAGGTCCCACGTTTGTCCAAACTATGTAGCATATTGAGTGGTCAACGATTATAATACTGTACATGGCTCCAGCTTTACACAGTTCAAACATTTTGTACAGGCCGCTAATACTTATTTGAAGGAAAAAAGGATTTGATGAAGAGCTAGCTAACATTGACTAGGCTTTCGTTTGTAGTCCCCTGCCTTTTGTTTATGAGTTAATTAGATGAAAAAATCTTGGGTCACCTTATCATAATCATCAAATTGCCTAGCAGTGATAAGTTGATTGTGTGGGAACGGACACACTCATGAGAACCTGGAGGTACGCTATATTATCCATTCTTTTCTGGCATTCTGATTATTTCTAAATATATACATATTAGGTAGTATAAATGGTCATTCGATTAGGGTGGCATGGACTGAAAAATCATTTGATTATATGAAAATGAATTGATTTCCCAGAAGCACTATTCCATTAAACTTTATGGTGTGTTAGAGCTAGAAAATAGATTATATTTATAATTTTATCACCCTGCCAATTTGAGTATAACTACTCTTAAGGTGAGGAAGAATTGACGGCGAGTCAAATTTTTATATCAGGGTTGCAGATATTGAGTGTTTTTACATTTTTTAGTATTAAGATTGTGCAAATGTGTTGTCACTAATGTCATACGAAGTTTATAATTCCCTATATAATTGAAAATCTGTCCGGTAAATTCACATTTTATTGAAGTATCTAAAATGAAAAGCATGAGCTGACATAATTACTCTTCATAAGATACTCTTGTAGTAACCATAACCGATGACTTAAACAAAATAAAATAATTTGTAATTGTGATAAGCTAGCGCAACAAATGTGGCGAATTATGCTAATCAAAATTATGCATAATGGTGCAAATAACGCTCGAAAAGTGCCGCTCCAAATTTCTCTCGAAAATTCAATACACACCAGACAAGCATTATTTTGCATACATGGCTCCGACAGTGTGAAAAAAAGAAAAAGTTCAATTATGGTTTTAAAGTCTACATAGACCAATAATCTTGAAAAGTAGAGGGGAGACAAAAACATATACAAAAGTGGCATATTCTTTCGCATAAAGCCAGAATAAAAAAATAAAACAGTGAATGAATAAGGTACATGTATAAATTCTTGCGGCGTATGTCGGATATGTCACTCAAAAATCCTAATATGGATTACAGTTTTGATTCAAATCACATAAAATACGTCTACAGACTGTGCCAAAATGGTGGAGATGTATTTAAATATTGCGGCGCCCCTTTTAATGGGAAACTGGAAGATGCTATTTTTTCCCAGCTGAAAGTAAAAATATTATAAAAAATCTTAAATTAGTCCTATATCTGCAGCAGCTTAACGTTTGGCAGGTTAATTTTCTTTCTGGGTTTTACCCAACTTACTAGTTGACTGTGCCTTTGCATCAGCCTACTAGTTGGTCTTCGTACTTTTGTACATCAAGGCTAGTTTTAATATATCCTAATCGTTTTACCAAACGCTTTTATCCGTTTTATCCATTTTGAGTGAATCGTTTGTTGTTCTACGGTCAAAATCGTTTGCTACGATCTATCTGACACTTCACATTTCACTACGGTCATGAAGAGCCCATGTAAGCGACCCGAATGCTGTTTTTCAGTCACATGTGGGATGCAGTGTAACAAGTACAAAGGTTCATTTCACGAAGCATGAGCAGATCTTACGATGATTGCTTACAACAAATTTGGTAAGTCAGATAGCATTTGGGTATGTGGCACATGCAACATGAATGCTGAGGATTTGTTGAGCGATGTCATCATTCTCTTGACAAGTCTGCGGAAGACACTAACAGCAACCCTGAAGAAAAGCAGTTATGGGACAGCTAAGCAAACAAAGATGCTTAGCGAAGCAAAAATGCGGGTCTTCGACAACATTAGTAGCGATGGAGCACGCATCGACGCTACCGAGAACGTGGTGAAGCCAAGCACCTCAATAACATCGACGGTGCTGGACTCTCTCAGCAAACTTGTGTCCTGCAGCACAGGCCTCCTTATTGTAACTGCGGCCTCCAACACTTCTGTGGGTGACTAAGCCTTCATCAACAAAGTTAAAAAGGACCGAGTGCCACCGTTGGAAATACTGAACAGCCTAGGTATAGTAGGTAAATCAGCCATACAGTCGATCGTGCGATCTACTCCTAAGATTGTCCAACCAGTCAGATAATAACACGGAAATCCAAAATGCAGTCTGACTTCCAAACAAAATGTTCTCCAACTTCAACTTCAAGACCTGGGAAAACGATCACGGTTTGAGATGATTCTCTTATATTTATGAACCTGAAAGACGGCCCTGACGTTCCTCTCAGTCTACAGGACAAAAATGTCAGGATAGCCAGGTAAGAGTTAAACAGGAATTTTGAAATTCCCTAAATTCAGCGACTAACTGTCACAAAGCTTACCCGTGGAAACAGTTGCGAGCACCAAAATCATCGAAGACTCCTTCGTGTAGCGTTCACCAACACTGCTGACATAGAGGATGTTCTGCTGGTCAGTCACTTGCTGAAACCAGATGTAAGGATGCCGCCTGATAAACCATATTGTGAGACAATCTAATAAGGAACATCCACCAAAGATCCACTCTTGAGGCGTTCTTTCTTTAAAAAATACTTCATTGTGCAAGGTGTCCCAGAAAACAAGAACCCTGATTATGCAGACTGTGATATTCTATGGTGGGATTTCATAAAACAGTACTTGAAGCTCCAGAACATACTAATTGGATAAATGGTTCCACTAGCCGAGGAGGACGGGAATACTAGACTTCGGTTAGTGAAGATAACCTTCCCATCCTCGTGGATGACGGCTGTCATTTTGTGTCAACAGACCCCGGTTACCAACTAAAATCCACGTACATCAGAACAGACTACATGATGTAGAAATTAAGCATATAATGTAATTGGAAGTAACTATTACGCTTGTGGACTGTCAAGATCAGGGAAAAAACATAGAAGAGACATAAACTACCAACTTGGAAAACCCTGTGTAAGTAGGTTGCCTGGCAATTCGCGTTAAGCTTATTAAGAGAAACAGGACAAGGAAGTTCACGCGTTTCGAATCGAAAGCAAAACTGCATATGTACGAACGCAATAAGTTTACCGAGAAAAATGGATGAGCTGCGTGAATTAAGTGACGCTAATAATGTTCACACTTAATTTGCATTTTTACAAACGAAGAATTCATGAGTGGCAACCTCTCAATGCTAGGTCCTCTGTGAAGAAGTGATCGCGCCGTTACAGCCTTCAATTTTATCATCAAAATTACGTCAAAATATCTCACTAACAATAGGCATTGAATTTCAAACGGACTGATGCGTATGCTTTACTGGACAATCTACGGCAGGTAGACTGAGATGCCTACACTTAACTTGATGTAGGCACTTATTCAGATTTCTTACTGCATACGACCTTATATGTTACTAAATACTCTGTCTCACAAGTGGTTGCAGGCAACGTACAGTCACAAAGAATCAAACTCTTAGACATCCTCTTAAACATCTACTTAAGCTTAGTCCCAACACTAACTTAAGGGGTAACACCCAGAAATTAGAGATACAACATAGTAGAACGGACTGCAGAAACAACTTCTACTCCTTAAGAGTTGTCAAATGCTGGAATTCGCTGCCAGCTGAGCTAGTCCAAGCAACTTCCCAGGAGTCCTTTAGGAGACGACTTGATCTATTCTTAAGGACTAAGGATAGTATCTTACTATGATTTACCAATTACTTTTTTTCTCTTTTATCGTTAATATACCTAGGTTCTTGCCTGGAGGTATTGGTGATCCCCTGCTACTAGACACGGAAGTCTGTTAAGCGAAAGCTTCTTCTATTCCGCCCACAACCATTTGAACCATTTGAGTGTTCAAGGACTGGAATGCCTTAACCAAACAAGTGGTGTCAGCTCCATCAGTAAATATTTTCAAGGTGTAGCTGGATGTTCACTGGAGTATGGGCTGCGAGGATTAGAACAGGTTTATCGACCTATTTTCTTTATTAGTGAATACCACGACTAAAGATGTCGAAGATTTTCCTCTTTCGAATACTAGATGAGCGGCTTGGTTTTCAAGAACGTCTGATGCTTCGTGCGTCCATCTGTATTTCACACTCTGGAATCGTCTTCTCAACCCTATATACAAGGTTCCTGCCTGGAGGTATTGGTGATTTACTGCTTCTAGACACGGAAGTCTGTTAAGCGAAAGCTTCTTCTATTCCGCCCACAACCATTTGAAACATTTGAACCGAGCAAATTAAATGACCAATGATGATTAGAAATGGAGTCGTGTCAGAGGGAATTTAAAAATGTCTGGGTACGTATTGGTCTGATAAGTCGATTCAATACATACTACCTCTGGGAACGCGTGGTAAATAGCTAGTTGCTCCTTGCGACTAAAGTTTATTATAGATTTGTTGCCATGTTCAGATTGACAGTGGCAATATTTCGTTTTGAAAGATAAATTCACTCGAATTATGGCGTACGTGGATGACTGACGTCGTTTTCTTTGTCTAGGTTGTAGTGATAAGTTAAACTTGTATGCTCTTCCTAAGAATAATGATCACTATCGTCATCATCATCCTGAAGACAAACATCAGATTCTGATGAACTGCGTTTACGTCCATATGTACAGACATATCTGACGAGGAAATACTTTAGAGTTGGGTCATCATTGTTCTTTTTACAAGCTGACATATTGTACTTAGTATGCGTATACTACAAAAACAATCATAAACCACAGAAGTCATTACCTTATGTACTTCTTTCAAACAGGTCTCAAAATTGTCCCGACTTGTAAGTCGTCGCGATAACATAATGTCATTGAAGATTCGTCCTACACCATGCATCAACGCGACGACATCGTTTTCGTCACTTGAAGGATGGACGTTATCAGACATAGTGGGGCTAAACTGAATTCAAATCTAAAAGTGCAATGGTTTGACCGCTCCTGCAAAACCTCACGAATTGTCAGTGTGACGCACCTCCATCATTCGACAATACCTTTAAAGCGTTGCCCGCGTGCTAGTTGGTCACACTATTATAGTTACTAGACTACTTCGTTATTACTATTTGTACGCCTAAAATAACCCGGTAATTTTTATAGTCAAATAAAATGGTAAATGACTTATCAAACAGGTATACATGCGACAATTGTTACATGTAAAACAGCCTTATAAGGCTGTTTTATAATTGATTGCGAACGTCCGTACACGTGCCCACTAAACTACAGTAAGAAAGCAACACTAGGAAATTTCGGGAAATGCGACAGAAACGCCGATATTTCCTCTAGCATGGGGTTTTCCCTTAAGTCTGAAGGTATTTTGGGGAAATCCCCAGAACTAGGGAAATTTAAGGTTTTCTTCAATACCAGAAGCATGTTTCTAACTTTCAGTTCGTCTTAGGTAATTAGTCTCCGCTCGTATGTCACAGCATTCAAGACTTCATGTACTAAAATGCCTGGTACGAAAGTCACCGCTCATGATAATTTCGACATCTACATACTGTTGGATTTCAGGTTTGCGTGCAACTTTAACTGTTAATGTTATTTAGGATTAATGCCTAAGACTAGTTTTTGCGTCGTGTTGGATTGAAGTTTAAAAAGTGGTACATAACGAGATAGCTGAAGAAATTCAGTACAGTTGATTGTGCAACTTATTCATCTTTATTTATTAGTAATAACCTATTTTATGGTCCATTCTTCTAGCTCCTTGTTATAACGACAGCTTTGTGCTACAAACAAAATAATTTCAAAATGGAGATTTGTAGCTCGGGCGGATAATTTTGGTTTACTATACCAAAAAGTAACCACTTAAATGTGCTTATCAAGCGGTTTTTTAACTGGTCGATTTAAACTTTTGTGCGATCATCTACTTTCTTACCAATTCTTTGTAGGTTCCAGTCTATTATTCTATATTGTAAATTCCATTCCCAATAAGTCTCATCCTTCAACTGATTAAACAATTTTGGCTTATCCATTCGAGGATTCATTTCCCGGTTCAGTCCAGCATGCATCTATAGATTATATTAAAGCATTTAAATAAACTTCATCGTTAGATCAGACAGGATGTTACGCAGTTTCTCGCGATTTGGATCTGATAAATGTACTCGTTTTCTCTACACGTCTTGTTATGTTAATACACCTAAAATTCAACCATGCAAATCCTCACAGTTATTGAAGTCATATTTTGAACTTGGACGATTCGCTAGACCAACGGGCACGTGGCTGTTATACCTTCCTTGCACGTGGAGCATTGCTCTAGCTGCACCACCGGGTCACTTGCCAGATATTTATATGCTGACCCTATTTGGCGTTGGCTCCATTTTGATGCGAAGTGCGGGTTGTACAATAAATGATATGTGGGATAAAAAATACGACATGCTTGTCAAACGCACAAAGGATCGTCCACTAGCGTCAGGTTCACTAACCTTTCCCCAGGCGTTATTGTTTCTTGGTGTTCAGCTAGCGACATCGCTTGTAATATTATTGCAATTGAACTGGTACAGGTTGGTTTGAATTACTTTTTAGCTACTTCCTGAAGTGTATTTCTTGGTATCCTGTCATTGGTTCCTGTCATCACGTATCCTCTGTTCAAACGTATTACTTACTGGCCGCAGCTTGCACTTGGTAAGAATCAATGTAGCATTTTCTAACCTAGATTTATTGCAATGTGGTGTTACAGGCTTAACATTGAACTGGGGTGTTTGGCTTGGGTATTCTGCTATAAATGGTTTTTGCCTTTTCCCCGTGTGCACTCCTTTGTATTTAGCTGCAGTGTGTTGGACATGCACGTACGATACTATATATTCTCATCAAGTGAGGATGTTTTGCATTTGTCTTCAATCTTTTTGGCGCTAATAGTTTCTGCATTTTAAGAATATTCACGTGGTGTCGACTCATAGTTTTTCGATTCTGCATACTTAATTTTGTGTTTTGACTTATCGCCCAGTAAACCAGCAGCACCTTTTTGTTTTTCATCTGAAATTTAAAGATTAGGTTTGTTTGTTCTGTGTAGGTCTTACATTCAACTGGGGTGCTTTGCTGGGCTATTCTGCTGTCACAGGTTCTGTTGACCCTCTGATTTCAATTCCTCTCTATTTTGGTGGCTTCAATTGGACAATTATATACGACACAATTTATGCACATCAGGTTTGTGCTCATAACTTGCTTTGAAGTTGACTATTTTATGTTAAATCTATAACGAGGGTTTTTATTCCAGGATATCGACGATGACATCCGTGTAGGCGTAAAATCAACTGCAATTTTATTTGGAGAAAAAACGAAGTTATATTTGGGCGCTTTTCACATGGGAATGACAGCGTGTCTTCTCACTGTTGGAATTAACGCAAATGCCGGTTGTCTATATTACCTTGGGACCTTCCTTACAATGCTTCATATTGCTCACTTAGTAAGTTGCTATTTTCACCTCTATATTTAGATTTCCCTTAATATTTAATGGTAGTGTGTAGTATTAAAGCCCGGATATTTGGTTCACAACCCATAAATCAGTGGTTTCAACTCACTGATCATTCCTAACATTCACAATCCATGTAACATTTCTCTATGCATCTAGTACACTGTTGTATTCGGATGATAAGATTTGTCAATCTGTAACTTATTAGCTTAAATGTCTGATATCGAATTACTAAGTGACAGGTTCAAACACTTTCCCGTGTCAACTTAAACACTAAGCTAGTATCGTTTCCTTTGGTATCCTGCTACCAATTTTTGATTTAAACTGGTTTCATTTTTCGGTTTTCACTTGGGACTGTCATTCAACCAGTTAAACAGCTGTAAAATAGTTTGAAGTAAATATTTTTTGAAGCCTACCTAATACACCCATGTTTGTCAGACGCTTAAATGTAGTTAATCACCCGAAATAGTGCATTGAACATGCTGACTTATTCCAACTCATTATTCAGTTATCTGTTCCTATCCAAGTATTCCGGTCTAGATTATTATTTTCCGTCACCAGGTTTTTATAGTTTAAAAGGTCAGACCTAAACATAAGATATGGAGGGGTTTGATCATAATTGAGTTGATCGTAAATACTACCTTTACGCGGTGGTCGGGCTTGCCTAACGTGATGACGCAGCCGAGCTATATTGGCTGGAACGCCCCCAAATGCCCTGGTACAGCCGAGAGTGGAGAGAGTCCGCTCTCCTCGAAATACTCTCACATGGCCATGCGTATATAGCCTCTACCAGAGAAGTCCTACTCACTGCCTCCTCCTGGCGGGAATGTTTTCGAAAATGAGAGGACGAAAAGCGAATGTCCGGCGCTTTAACCGAATTCCAAACCGATGGTGCACATGGGCTGGCTCCAGTATGCTGAAGGGACAAATGGCGTATGAACCAATCGTTGGTCACCGGCTACCATGGGACTGCATCTCCTTACGATGCTCCACTGTCTTGTGGATCAGACTTTCAGGTCAAAGGCTCGGGGTGTGGCCCCCTAAGAAAGCGACCTGCTTCGGTTTGGGCACCTGGGCAATATCACAGCCCTCACACATATCAATTGATATCTGTGTGGCGCATATGTATTTGGTGTCTCCTTGTACCAATATCTGTGTTAAAATAAATAATAATAAATAAATATTGGCTGAAACACATGTTCCTGCAGGTTCTACCATATCAGACAGGTCGATCGGAGAACGTTAAGACTAAAAGCAGTAACTCAAGGTCTGAGGGCGAAGTCGTACTGCTGACTGTACAGAGGTGTGACGGCAGTAAAGTGTTTCCCTCGGACAACCAGCATCTGCAACGATGCTGCCTTCTCACAAGGAAGCAGGGGGCTAGAAAAGGTCGACCCTAAAAATGTCACACCTCACCTTACCCCACGGATTTCCGTCTCCGCCGGTAAGGCCCTTTGAAGAACGGAGCTAACACATTAAAAACCTCCCACAAAAAGGCCGTGCGCGACCAGTCAGTCAGTCAGTGGTCTTGAGTGCTGTTAGAGGTATGAGGGTGGTTATCACTTCCCGGTTGCCCACACCGTGGAAGGGTTCTGCTGGAGGTTCCTGAAAAGGAAATTGGATTGGAGTTGGTCATAGTGACCTGAGAGCGTGACCCCAGTGCCCAAGGGACAGCTGCTTGAGGTCGGTCACGCACGACCTTTTTATGAGTAGTTTTAGTGTTAGCTCCGTACTTGTTGAGTCCTTATCGCCGGAGACGGATATCCGTGGGATAAGGCGAGGTGTGCATTTTTAGGGTCGACCTTTTCTAACCCCACCCCTCCTTGTGGGAAGGCAGCATCGCTGTCATGCTGGTTGTCTGAAGGAAACACCTTACTGCGACCGGCCTCAAGCAGCTGTCCCTTGGGCTTTGCGGTCACGCTCCCAGGTCTTTAAGACCAACGCTTATACGATTTCCTTTTCAGGTTCCTCAAGAAATATCCTTCCACGGTGTGGGCAACCGGGAAGTGACATCAGCCATCATACCCGTAACAGCACACGAGACTAAGTTGGTCACATTCAAATCCTTACACCTAATATCTAGGGCCGTAGAATCTCGCTCCATCGATGTGTGCTGCGTCTCTGAAACGCGCATACAGGATCCGAGTAGTGTCATTCATTTGACCGCACCATGACAAAGTAACGAACCAACTCGATTTACGCTTCGTGTATCTGGAAGCCCTGATGCTGCTTCTCGTGGCCTCGCTGGCGTAGGTATAGCATTGAGTCCTAGGGCAGAACTAGCTCTTTTAGACTGGATCCCAGTAGACAGTCGTTTGTGCTCTGTCCGACTAAACGGAACAGTAAGGACTCGGGAAGATAGGGACACTCGTCGTTGCCTCTTCGTCGTCTCTGCCTACTCTCCCACTGACTGCAACTCAGATAATGTAAAAGATGAGTTTTACGGAAAGCTTTCCGATCTTCTCCGAAAAGCTATGCGTTTAGATGTAATAGTAGCTGGTGACTTTAATGCTTAAGTAGGTAAACTGAGCGAAAAAAGACACCTGGGTGGATCTTATGGTGTCGCGGCTCAAAGAACAGATAATGGCGACCGTCTGTTGCAGCTATGCTCAGATAACCGCCTGTTTCTTGCAAACACTAACTTTAAGCATAAAAAAAACATCTTTTAACATGGCGACCCCCTAATTCGTCTTAACGCTGGACCCGAATAGATCACATCGCTATCAGCCACCGATTGAGGGGCTCGATAGAAGACTGCCGCTCATTTTGGAGCACATGCTTAGACTCAGATCATGCTCTAGTGCGAGCGCGTATTTGTCTACGTCCTGGTAAGGCCGAGAGTGGAGAGAGTCCGCTCTCCTCGAAATACTCTCACATGGCCATGCGTATATAGCCTCTACCAGAGAAGTCCTACTCACTGCCTCCTCCTGGCGGGAATGTTTTCGAAAATGAGAGGACGAAAAGCGAATGTCCGGCGCTTTAACCGAATTCCAAACCGATGGTGCACATGGGCTGGCTCCAGTATGCTGAAGGGACAAATGGCGTATGAACCAATCGTTGGTCACCGGCTACCATGGGACTGCATCTCCTTACGATGCTCCACTGTCTTGTGGATCAGACTTTCAGGTCAAAGGCTCGGGGTGTGGCCCCCTAAGAAAGCGACCTGCTTCGGTTTGGGCACCTGGGCAATATCACAGCCCTCACACATATCAATTGATATCTGTGTGGCGCATATGTATTTGGTGTCTCCTTGTACCAATATCTGTGTTAAAATAAAATAAAAAAATAAACTGGATGTAGGAAAGATGGTACAAGGAAACCCCTACTTAATGATAGTCAAGCTAAGAGGATATTTCAGGAACAACTAGGAAAACAGTTAGGCAGCCATGTAACTGATGTCCACCCCGAGGCAGCGTGGAATGACATCCGAAAAGCTGTAGAAACAGCAGCGATGTCTGCAAGTACGGTAAACCATAAGGTTAGGGAGAAACACTGGATCTCAGCAGCATCTACCGCACTGATAGATGCTCGGAAACTCATTCCATCTGGCTCTGAACATAACGAAGAGCGGAGTCAGCTTAAGCGTAATTTGACTAGAAGCTTACGCAATGATCGTGAACTGTGGTGGGTAGCGAAAGCAAGAGAGATGGGAAAGGCAGCGGCAATAGGTAACAGCAGGCAACTGTTCAAACTTATTAAGGAAACTAGTATTAGGAACCCAACTGTTAGCGAAACAATCTCAGAGAAAGATGGACGTATTATTCATTCTCAATCCAGGAGATTGGATCGATGGGCAAAACACTTTAGGGATCAGTTGAACTGGCCTTCAGCCACACTTCGGTTTCCCACGATCTCCAATCTACCTCAATGGCAAGTTAATGTAAGTCCTCCGACTCTACGAAGTTGAAAAAGCTATAGGAAATCTGAAGCGTGGGAGAGCAGCAGGCCCTAACAGGTTTACCCCTGAGATTTTTAAGGATGGCGGTCCAGTATTAGCAGCGAGATTGACTGAGGTCTTAGGTAGAATCTGGGAACTGGACGTAATCCCATCTGACTGGTTTCAATCACTGATTGTGCCAGTCTATAAGAAAGGACAAAAGTCCTCTTGTGACAATCACAGAGGAATTAGTTTGACTAATATAGTGTCTAAAATATTAGCTTCAATAATACTTCGACGTCTAACCAAAGCTCGTGAAGAGCAGGCTAGAGAAAACCAGGCTGGTTTTCGACCTGGACGTGGTTGTATAGACCAAATATTCACACTAAGTCAGGTCCTAGAACATAGAAACACATTCAGACGCCCCACAATGATAGTATTTCTAGACCTTAAGGCGGCATTTGACTATGTTGATCGTGAGGTTCTATGGCAGTGTTTGTCACTGAAAGGAGTACCAAAGAAGTACATTAACCTTATAAAGGCTCTCTACTCGAACACAACTGGTCGAGTGAGAGCTTATGGCGAACTGTCATCAGAACTGATTACCTCAAGTGGTGTTCGTCAGGGCTGTCCACTCTCTCCATTCTTGTTTAACTTTATCATTGACGTGCTTTTAGAAACAACACTTTCCACATCTGACTCCAAGGGCTGAACTTTTACCGAAAGATTCACTTGTTGACTTAGAGTATGCCGATGACATAGTTCTATCTAGTGAAGACGCTGACAAAATGCAGAGTCTGCTGACCACTCTAAGCAACAATGCAGGCATGTTCGGCATGCGATTTTCTCCCTCGAAATGCAAAATGTTGCCTCAGGATTGGGTTGCGTCGACACCCGAACTAGTGATAGGGAGTGAGGTAGTTGAGCGTGCCAACCGCTTCACTTATCTTGGAAGTCTCATCAGCCCTTGTGGTCTGGTGTGTGACGAAATCTCAGCACGGATACAGAAGGCTCGACCAGCTTTTGCCAACTTGCGTCATTTATGGCGTAGGCGAGATATCCGTCTATCAACCAAAGGACGTGTTTACTGCACAGCAGTTCGTTCCGTCCTACTTTATGACAGTGAAACATGGCCAGTAAGAGTAGAGGATATTCGTAGGTTACTAGTATTTGATCATAGATGTCTTCGAAACATTGCTCGTATATACTGGGACCACCGAGTAAGTAATGCAGCTGTTAGGAAACGGGTACTAGGTAAGGATGGCAAATCAATTGATGAAGTAGTGAAACGTAATCAGTTAAGATGGCTGGGACATGTGTTGCGCATACCCGACCACCGACTACCCCGACGTGCGATGTTTTATGGTGTAGGAGTAGGTTGGAAGAAAGCTAGGGGCGGCCAGACCAAAACATGGCACAAATCCATGAAGTCACTGACAAGTGGACTGAGCCATGTTGGTAGATGTAGACTACTTGGTTGGGGACTGCGAATGATAGCAACCGATAGTTAGAGACCTTGAATGACATGGCTCAAAATCGCTTGCAATAGCGCAGGTGCATCCACTCTCTGTGTTCTCCCAAACTCTAATCTTCTGAATTCTCCATGTCCTTTATTTTCTTTCCAAATATATCCCACTAGACTATACTCCTTAAATAACATCATCAAACCTTAATGTTCCCTGTCACTACTTATACTTTCACTACTCTACCACTACGGGATTTGAATCGATAACTGCATCTCTGTGCTAATGTGATATGGCAACTTGAACTGATGTACGTACGTTCCACGTTGTTACTGACTGACTGATCTCTTGTTCTGTTAAGAGTATGAGGGCGGTTTCCATTTCCCGATTCCCCATATCGTGTAAAACATTTCTTACTGATAAAGCTGGATTAGTGGGGGTCTTGTCGAACTGGGAGCATGACTGTAGAGCGTAAGGGACAACTGCTTGAGGTCACTCACGTAGTATTTTTGTGTAGTTTTCCATGCTAGCTCAGTACTTGAAAGGGTCTTGTCGCTAAAGATGGAATCTATTGCATAAATTTAGGTGTGGCACTTTGGGGATCGACTTTTTCTGACCCTATTCCATTGTGATAAGGTGCCATCACCGTAGTTTCCGGTTACTTGAGGGAAGTAATTTACTACTGTCACACCCCTGTGCAATCAGCAGTATGACTTCGCCCTCGGATCTTAATTCGCTGCTTTTAGTCTTACCATTATCCAATTGATCTTCTTGGAATGATAGGACCTAGAAGAGCAAGTGTTCCAACCAATATGGCTCGATTGGATTAATACGGTGTCCAAGTTTGACTATCATATCAGGGTAATTCATCAAGTACTGGTTCATGTACTCATCCTCGAGCTATGTTGTATTATATGTGGACAGATGACGTCATGTAGATACTTAAATAAGAGGAGATAAACGGAGAACAGAACCCGTGAACTTTCTTTTATATATTACCATCATTAAATTAATTGCTTCTATGATTTCGGTGTTCATCTTGTAGTGCTGATGAGGTATGGTTGCTTGGAGTGATGCATATATGTGCCTGGTTCTGCGTTGTAGCTGACTGACCCCGTGATTTAATCATTGAAATACAAATTCAATGGATCATGTATCGAATTCTACTAGTAGAAACTATAGATGAATCGTTGTTTTCAAATCCCTAATCTTTTCGGTCAAATGTCACTCATATTCCAAACTCAAGATAGTTTCTAGTCGAAGTGAGGAATAAAACTGATAATGGCCATAAACATCCCAATTATGCTATAGTCTGTTACTCATTGGTTCCATTATCACAAATGGACAGTCAGTCGTTTATAAGTTTTACGCAACGTTGAACCTGGCATATATATTCACCTTTTCAAGTTTCCACACCCCATTAGCACTACGAGATAGTAGTAATATTAATGGTGATAGAAATGTTAAGGATAAATTGTGATCTGATAAGAAAATATGGATTAGTGAAATGAAAAAACCTAGGATCCAAGGTAAAACAGTGTTTGGGCCTGTGCCATTGTCAGAGGTTCTAATCAGTGTTACTCATGGTCTCTAGCAACTAGTTATGGTACTTTTATAGATCCCACCCAGGTAGTCCGCACCTACCTACCTGTACGCTCCTGTTCAACAGTCAGTGTCTCCATGGACTAATTCCACGTCTTGATTTGGTATCCTAACGTTCTTTCAACCTTCTACCACACCAGCCATCATCTTATGTCAAGGTGGGCAATGGAAAGCTTCATTGCAATTCTAGAAATTCTTCATAACTGATTACTTTGGGACCTGAAAATATCTTATTCTCAATAAATATCTGATATCTTGGTATATTAAAAAATGCCATATTTTTTCCGATTTCAATTCGTATCATTGAACCACTAAATCATTGCTGTAGTTACGCTGTTCAAGTTCCTAACCGTTATTTTGTAATGAAGCGCAGTTATGTTGCTATATCGAGCCAGTCTTTTTTTATCTGAATACCGATTCTAGTGGTCACTTTTCTTCCGTTTACAACATGTATTCTGTGTTAGATGAATATTTTCGTACTCTGTTTACCTCTGCGTAAGTATTTCATCGATAACTAAGTATTTATTGGATTACAGTCTACTCGGATGTTCCTACAAATGTCCTTCGATATGTCAGAACATTATACAGTCAATAAAAGGATTCAGTCAACCTTTTCACTGTTGCTCTTAGTTCTTTCCTGAGTTTTCCTCTCGTGGAAGTATAAGAACTCAACAGCTGTTTTTCTGAGTATGGATGAATGTGAAGCATGTTTGAATCCTTAATAAATAATTCACTAAAATTTAAGAATCTACAATAAAGTTTTGACGATTAATGAATATGTAACCTTCCATAATTTTAAACAAGGGAGCATGGTGCTGATTTTCTTACTAGTTCATAACCATGATCTGCTTGGTTTGAAATTGGTAAGATTTCAAGCTGCGGATTTAGCTCATACTCAAGTTACTTTAGCAGGAAAACAATGAACATTTGAAGTTGGTTTGCCTAATTGTCTGTTTAGCCCTGCAGTTTGCGGTTGCTTTTCAAACAAGGAGTAGTATTGAGGCCTTCTCCTAGTGTCTATCTGGTTATCCAATATGCGATTATACAAATAATATCTAACTGTAACAAAATTAGATTTAAAACCACGTTTGTATACTTAGTAGAATAATTTCTAAACCACTACGTAACCATTACAACTTTTAGAAGTTGAAAACTGACACTTCGCACGTATCATCAGTTTTTACCAACTTTTAATTCTACTCTCGAAAATCCATCAAATACTCCACTATCTAAGTAGTTTTACTAAGGGATTTATCTGGTTACAGTTATTGATATACTTTATTTGTCTGTTTTACTTACAATTTACGATTTTTAGATAAGGAAGACGGACCTAAAGAATCCCAATTCTTGTTGGCAGACATTTAAAGATAGTAAAAAAACTGGCCTTTTGTATTTTCTTACCATTGTACTAGACAAAATATCACTATAAGTTTATTGTTTTTCTAAATAATAAAATTAACCTTTTGTAAATATTTTAGGATTTTCACCTGGCTGTTATAAATTGGTTTCCAATCTCATTAGGATCTATTACTTTTAAAATCACTTATATAATCAAACTAATTACTTGACACAGACCTATGATATTTGTGAAGATTGTGTCTGCTTTCTCTACAAGGAATTCTTTTAAACGGGAATAAGTTTTAACTGAGTGTTTATTGTAAATTTTGATACACCGTCAACTGGCAAATGTATTGTTACAAATAGTTTAAAATTTAACTGTCGAGCTCTGTAAACGAGATATCATACCGTTCTGACCCAAGCAAAGATCTACTCAATACAAATTATTGCAATTGATTTCACTTATTCTAAATCAGTCAGTTATGAAATAGAATGAACAATTATAAGGCAGTCTTTTTAAGTTAATCATAATTCTTGTTTATACAAACAAAATAATTAAGAAATAAACATAGCTGGATAAACGTTTTATGCTAAACAGATGTTACTTGTAGTTTTTTGTGACACGAAACAGTTTCGAGTTTAAACACCAGCAAGATTACATAAACAACAACCTGAACGTGATTCGTTTTTCTGTATCATCTTTCAAACGTACTTAAATATTTACGAAGAGTTTATCTTATCGGGACTTATTGTCTGATCAGTTAAATTATATGATTGGAAATTTAATATGGCTTGAGTGCGGAATCAAATAATCTACTCTTTACATCGTTTTAGAGAGCTATTTTGTGTAACCTAAAGTCCTGTACATAATTCTGTACTTGGTGAGTGCCATTTAAAAACATAAATAAAACCTAGCGAAAGCATAAGGCATAGGGTTTCTTTCACATTGTACGAGGCAATAGACTCCGTCCATCATAAGTGGCAAACTTGTAGTCTTGCACGGCATTGAAAAACTCTGCACAGCTGTGTGAACTGATACACATTTACACTACACTACTTTAAATTACAAGTCAATAATTTAAATAAAAGGATAAGTATTTGGGTCAACGCACAGCTCACATAGGAACTTGACTGAAAGTTCGTATTAGTCGGAAGGAACTAAGTTAGTTATTAGTTTCACAAAAACGATCAGAAGACGAAATGTTTACTACAATGTGACGCCGTTAATAAACAATGACGTTTAACTATACATTAACAGTTTGACGAATGAAATCTAAACCAATCATGGGATTCTGTTGCTAGGGTTATTGTAGTAATACCTTTATTAATTTTGTCCGAAATAGCAGATGGGGGGCTCTACGATCTGACCACGTATTTGAGAAAAACTCATTTTTAAAATTTCATTAGTCTTCGAATTTAAGTCCTCGACTGACAAAAAGGTTCAAATACAAACACTGGATATGGTAATATTATGAAAAACTATCACTCACAGCACACGTTATCGCGATGTTTTCCATTTGTACGCCAAATAATCTACTTTACGTTAGTAGCCAATTATTTTTAAATGACTATAATAACTTTGAAATTAAGATTAGTTGAGGTTACTAACGGCAGATATACTACATATGCAATTGCAAAGGTCAGAGAACATTTGACTCGAAAAGTTCTTTGGTTTTACAAAAATCTTCAAGCTTCCGATGAAGGTGGACTGAGTGATAACAATCTAGTTACCTACTAACACTTCTATGTTAAAACTGTGAATTCAGTGGCCTATAGTATTTTTCGATTCCGTAACTGATATGACGAAGAATTAAGTTTAACGGTCAAGTATTAATTAATTAGTGTCCTGGAAAACTGATTTGCTTTGATCGTTTATTATTCTCGTAATCATCCGTATGAAAGAATGTTGTATTATTTGACAAAAGATCTGTTATTGTGACCTATTGCCTTGTCTATAATATCAGTTCATTTGGGTCAGTAATCCGGTCACTCACTTGAATACTAACAATACATCTTGAAACCTCGATGTATAATCTTAATAGTTTAGAACACTAACGACACCAGAGGGATATGTTTGAACATTTCATTCTAGATTTTATAATCACTCGAAGTATAATTGTAGCACCTTAAGAACGACATGGTAGACTTCAGGACTGACCATGCACATATCGGTTTTCTCATCAGGAATTAGCTGGATTTGTGGATCCTAAGGTGACTCTCATAACTCTCCGACAATATATGTTAATGTTAGTCAGTAGCACAAGGAGACTGTTCTAGTAGACGCGTTAGAGTAAAAGTGATCAAATTTGAGACCACGAGAAATCAGCATTTGAATCCCCTGCAGACGTAGTCTAATGACATGAGCTTTGAAATCAAGTCACTCGTTTGTTATGTTCATCTTTTAAAAATTGACGGTTGATTTTTCAACCTGATATGAAGCATCAACCTTTATACATGTCGATCATTACCCATCATCCAAACTTTAGAAAAAGAAACGAGTAGGGATTATTTCACTTAAAACTTTTCCTACTAATTATAAGGTAAATCAGTGATAAACTGAGGCATTTGAGAAATTAATTTAGAAAAATATTAGCAGACGATAAACAGCAAACATTTATTTGTACACTTAAATGAATGCTTATATGTACAGTTTTGACATGGATTAACAATTTATTTACCCAAATGTACATAAGTTTCCAAGTCAGGAACGGCTGCCATAGTTTGTTCTACATGACCTATACACTCCAAACAAATGAGCTCAGGATTATCCTGATTCACAAGTACAACATCCTGTTGGTGAGAAAAAGGGAAAACAGTAAAAACGAGCATACTAATATGTAGGCAATTGAGATACCTTGCATGAGATAATTTTATGACGTACTACAGAGGTTTTATTAATTATCAAAATGTGATACGAATGTTCAGCCGAAATATTGATGTTTAAAAAATGATCAGAAAAATACATATTTTGACAATAATTTCTACATGTTGAGTGAATAAATTTGAGATTTATGAGCTTCATTAGACTAACTTTCTAATACAAACATCAGATATTTGGTGAATGGACACGATTTACACTGGAAATAAAGAAGTACCGGAGACTAGTTAACACCGTACTTTATACGATTTTGGATGACAGTTTGTGAACCAAATTAGCGGCCTGAATAAAACGACCGTTATGTACATATAGAGCCACCAAAAATGGAAGAAACTAAAATTGATCGGCTTCTCAACTAGTAAACTAATTCGTTGTACGTAAGTGTGAGATTCAGGTTTCATTCCACTTAATATTAGGGCATATTGTCAAATGACTGAAAGTTTCAAATTCAACACTACTGTTGTAGCAGGGAATACTTCAAGGATTTAATTATCTGTGTAAAACTGTCATGTTTATTAATCCCTTACAGTTTCTCGTGTTATTTTATAGTTATCTAGCAGACATATTACCTGGTTACATATGCTTTATTTCGAAATAGATGTGATTTTGACAATGTAGAATCCATCGTCTTTGAAATACCATTGATAGAGATTGAAGATGGTATCTAGAAAGTAATCCGCATATTTGGGATAAAGCTTACAGAACAATAGAATAAACAGAATTAATGACACAGTGAGTCAATAATATATTGGCCAAACGATAAGCTCACGCGACTGAAAAAGATATGAATTTCTTTTCTAAAGAATGGAACGTAAACTGTCGGTAGGAAAATATGTCTCAAATTACTAAGGGATGAATATATGTACATAAACGGATGTACAGTTATTACGACTGAATTATAAATTTAGTTGAACATATAAATATTGGTACAAAGTTACAGTAAATATATATGCGCAACATAATAACAATGAGAATGTGAAGAGATAAGGAATGTAAAGTGCCTATAAGGAAAAGGAGAACAACAACGAACAAAAATTAGTGTATGAGAGTGAAATAATAATGGGAGGCAGTTCAGTTAGCAAAAATACAACCAGAAATATTCTTTCAATTAGAAAAGTCACCCGCATTTCTATGCATAAATCAAAGTTACAACAGAACTGCCACTAGCTCCTATCCCTGGGACGACATTCGTAGAACATGTCCAATCTACCTAGACACACGAACTTCTCAACTAACTCTATCTGCTCACCATCCAGGGTGAGTACAGGATTAGAATCCTGCCAGTCTTGTAGAAGTACTTTGCACTTCGAAGGTGCAAAGCACATCCCATACCTACGGACACTGATTGCCAACTGACTGAGTGCGGATTGCATGGCTTGGACATTCTCGCACAGTAAGACAATATCAGCCGCATACTGAAGGTCGAGAAGTCTTTCTCCAGGTAACAGATCCACACCACCATTACCTATATCCATCAGAGCTGTTTCCATAACGTCATCGATAGCGAAATTGAGGAGGAATGGCGAGATTGGACAACCCTGTGTGACCCCACTGCTTGAATGGAACAATGGAGAGAGGTAGTTGTATGTCCTCACTCTGCCTGAAGTGTTTGCATATAGGGCTTTTAGGATGTTAATACACTCCTCAGGCACACCCTTCTTCAATGGACAATCCCAGAGAACAGTCCTGTCCAACGAATCGAAGGCATCCCTGATGTCAAGAATCACTACGATTGTTGGCCTTTGATAAGTATGACGGTGTTCTAGCATTTGGTGGAGGGTGGAGATATGATCAATACATCCTCGACCAGAACGAAAACCAGCCTGCTCCTCGTGAGTCAATTTTCTCGGGTTTTGAACAACCTACGAAGTATGACGGAAGCCAATAGTTTAAACGCAATCGAACTACATTCACCCCCCGATAGTTGCTACTGGAACGACGTGAACCCTCGTTAAAGATAGGGACAACTATCGACTCATTCCATGATGTTGGAACACTCTCTAATTGCCAAACTTTGGTAAACAACTCAGACAGTTCCCTAACCAGGAAGTCACCACCATCTTTAAAAAGGGCCGAAGGTAAGTCATCTGGGCCTGGTGATTTGTAGCGTTTCAAGAGTTGGAGTTCCTTGCGGACTTCCGCCTCATTCGGTGGATCAGTCGTCACCGGCCATAGAGGACAGGACAGTCTGACCGATGTTGCCGGAGCAGCAGGCCAGTTGAACTGGCCCTTCTAAAAATCCTGCCTATCGTCCAAGACGTCGATGGATGTTAGCGATTGGCATCCCGTCATCCTCACAGACTGTTCCGCTCACACCAGACTGATCGCGATGTGATCGATCCGAGTCCAGACATGAGATACAGAGGGAGGACGCCAGTTGGAGCATTGGCGATGACTGTGCCGAAAGTTAGTTCTAGTCAGAAACAAGTTGTGGTCTACGCACAGTTGCAGTAGACGGTCACCGTTATCTGACCTGCGACCAAGTCCTCATTGGCCACCCAAACAGTTCCTTTCTGTTTTTAGACACCGGACTTGAGCACCCAAGTCTCCGACTAGTACTACAATATCTGTCGAACGCACTTTTCTGTAGAATAACTGATAACTGGTGGTTAAACTAATCCTTGATCTCATCCAGGCTGCAATCCGTCGGAGCATAGGCGGAGATGATGAAAAGATATCACTTCTCATACAGATTTC